ACTTTATTGCCACACAAAGATTTCATCGTAGATAAGTCTTTGCTTTGTGAATTCGTAATTAATCGATACAATTGTCACTATATGGTGAACTTGATGCCCGGGTCTTAACATTGCTGTTGAACCCACCTTCGTCTCCCCAGTGACGCGTGTTGCTCGGAGATAGTGTTGAGGTACGTTAATCGTAAACAACGTGAACGCATTTTAACGTCATTTACGCAAATCTGCGGGCATGGGTATTTCGTGTACCGGCCACGTAAATCTTCAATCACACTGAAGTGAACCCAACATTGTCTGCTATTTGAAAGGTATATCAATATTATACACAATGTGAAATTGACTTTACTCTGTGGAAAAACCCTGCGTGAAAGGTTCAAAGTCCACGAGACAGACGGTATTCAGTCTGACTGACCCCTTTGTCGTTGTGTGACTAGTAGATAACAGCGATACAGTTTTAAAGCGGAATTCCGACGGTAAATCAGTTTGGTCACAAGGCCATCATGGAAGGCCAGGCGTGTTTCAAAGCTGCCCTGGGAAATGAGGAACATAGGCTCATATCTGCCCATGCCGCTTACTACAGACATGCAGGATCTAAAAAATAAAGTTTTGGGTACCGTAATATTTGTCTTCTTTAAGAAAAGAAAGGAAATGCATTTCTTGGAACGTTGACTCAAAACAATATCAAACAAAATTCCAGCTTGATAAATACTGTCAACCTGTGATATAACTACCCTATACCCGATAAATGCAGTCCTCTCTAGATACTATCCAGCTATACTCGATACCTACAGTGTGAGTAGTCATGTTGCTAACACGGTATATGTGTGTGTGCGTGTTGATAGGGCGTGTGTGTGTATGTGTGTGTGGACGGGACGTGTATGTATGTGTGTGTGGACGGGGTGTGTGTGTGTATGTGTGGACGGGGCGTGTATGTGTGTGTGGACGGGGTGTGTGTATGTGTGTGTGCACGGGGCGTGTGTGTGTATGTGTGTGTGTGGACGGGGTATGTGTGTGTATGTGTGTGTGGACGGGGCGTATGTGTTAATGTGTGTGTGGACGGGGCGTGTGTGTGTATGTGTGGACGGTGTGTGTGTGTGTATGTGTGTGTGTGTGGACGGTGTGTGTGTGTGTGTGTGTATGTGTGGACGGTGTGTGTGTGTGTGGACGGGGTGTGTGTGTGTATGGACGGAGCGTGTGTTAATGTGTGTGTGGACGGGGTGTGTGTGTGTATGTATGTGTGGACGGGGTGTGTGTGTATGTGTGTGTGGACATGGCGTGTTTGTGTGTGTGGACGGGGCGTGTGCGTGTGTGGACGGTGCGTGTGTGTGTTTTTTTGTGTGTAGACGGGGCATATGTGTGTATGTATGTGTGGACGGGGCGTGTGTGTGTATGTGTTTGGATGGGGCGTGTGTGTGGACGGGGCGTGTGTGTATATGTGTGTGTGGACGGGGCGTGTGTGTGTATGTGTGGACGGGGTGTATGTGTGTGTGGACGGTGTGTGTGTGTGGACGGGGCGTGTGTGTGTGTGTGTGTGGACGGGGTAATGTGTGTATGTGTGTGTGGACGGGGCGTGTGTGTATATAGTGTGTGTGGACGGGGCGTGTGTGTGTGTGTTTGGACGGGGTGTGTGTGTATGTGGACGGTGTGTGTGTGTGTGTATGTGTGTGTGGACGGTGTGTGTGTGTGTATGTGTGTGTGGACGGTGTGTGTGTGTATGTGTGTGTGGACGGGGTGTGTGTGTATGTGTGTGTGGACGGGGTGTGTATATGTATGTGTGTGTGGACGGGGTGTGTGTGTATGTGTGTGTGGACGGGGCGTGTGTGTATATGTGTGTGTGTGAGGAAGGGGCGTGTGTGTATGTATGTGTGTGTGTGGACGGGTGTGTGTGTGTGTGTGTGTACGGGGTGTGTGTGTATGTGCGTGTTGACAGGGCGTGTGTGTGGACGGGGCGTATGTGTATATGTGTGTGTGGACGGGGCGTGTGTGTGTATGTGTGGACGGGGTGTATGTGTGTGTGTGTGGACGGGGCGTGTGTGTGTGGACGGGGTGTGTGTGTATGTGTGTGTGGACGGGGTGTGTGTGTATGTGTGTGTGGACATGGCGTGTTTGTGTGTGTGGACGGGGCGTGTGCGTGTGTGGACGGTGCGTGTGTGTGTTTTTTTGTGTGTAGACGGGGCATATGTGTGTATGTATGTGTGGACGGGGCGTGTGTGTGTATGTGTTTGGATGGGGCGTGTGTGTGGACGGGGCGTGTGTGTATATGTGTGTGTGGACGGGGCGTGTGTGTGTGTGTGTGGACGGTGTGTGTATATGTATGTGTGTGTGGACGGGGTGTGTGTGTATGTGTGTGTGGACGGGGCGTGTGTGTATATGTGTGTGTGTGAGGAAGGGGCGTGTGTGTATGTATGTGTGTGTGTACGGGGGGGGGGGGGGGGGGGGGGGGTGTGTAGGTGCGTGTTGACAGGGCGTGTGTGTGGACGGGGCGTGTGTATATGTGTGTGTTTGTGTGGACGGGGCGTGTTTGTGTGGACGGGGCGTGTGCGTGTTGACAGGGCTAGTGTGTATATATGTGTGTGTTGACAGGGCGTTTGTGTGTATGTGTGTGTGGACGGTGTGTGTGTGTATGTGCGTGTTGACAGGGCGTGTGTGTGTGGACGGTGTGTGTGTATGTGTGTGTTGACAAGGCGTGTGTGTGTATGTGCGTGTGGGCGGGGCGTGTGTGTGTATGTGGACGGGGCGTGTGTGTGCGTGTGTTCACAGGGCGTGTGTGTGTGTGGACAGGGTGTGTGTATGTGTGTGTTGACAGGGCATGTGTGTGTGTGTTTACAAGGCGTGTGTGTGTATGTGTGTGCTTTTGTAGTTTATGTGTCCACCCCTGTGATTGTGTACGGCAGGCAAACTTTCCACAAGGGAAGTGCAGACGTAAGTCTGCAAACATCGTTTCAGTGTAGCATTTTCCTGTATTTCTCGAGTTCTAAGCATTTTTGTCGAAACCTTTTCAATGCTGTAAAAGCAAAGACCTCAAAATGCTTTTGTCGCGAAATGTCCAATCTCATTAAAATCAAATCTTAGTTCTCGCTATCGCTAAACAAAGATCTGAGGACATCCCATTACGGGTCACGTCAGAACGACCTTTCATCCAACCAATCAAAGCGTCGCTTACCAGATCATGAAAGTGACAGTCCGAATGTGTTTTCTAATCATGCAACCTTGAAAACGTTAACACGGGGGTGTTCCGAACGACAGTCACGGCCCATACGGCTGATTCCGTCAAAATTATCGTCTATCTCTCGCTTCCGTGGGATAAACATTTGAACGGATAAGGCGTTGCACAGTACGTGGGAAGCACTGCCACACAAACACAAAGTTTATCTCCCTCCTATCACAGGTGAAACAAGGGACAGTCATGTTCACTCATGCATGACTTTCCGAGCATCAGACCGTATCATTTCATGATTTGACTGCCGGCTCATTGGGAAGACACCTCATCGCCAAAACCATCAATCAACAGAGATCAAGCCTCTCATCTCATCCGCCTACTTCTCATTTAGCAATAATCACTCCACATATGAAACCTTATCTTGTTTAATTGGCTTCCTCATCATGTGTTCTGTCCATCATGTTGTTACAGTATTATCATTCTGTTGTTATTATTTAACCTACTCATGTTAATCTCTCTCATGTATGGAATTGTTCCTGTTAATCCTCCACCTATCATATATACTTGGGACCATGACCCGTGAAGATCTGGGGAAGACAAGATAGGTCTTCAGCAAACCATGCTTGCTGTAAGAGGCGAATAACGGGTGGTCATGCTCGCTGACTTGGTTGATGCATGTCATCGTATCCCGACCTAGAATTGCACAAGTCTCTAAGGCAATAAATAATAGTTTAAATCATAATTTCTAGATTATGTAAATAACAAGAACAAATTGTCCCTATAAGAGAAACCCGTGAAGATCCGGGGTAGAATAGGTCTTCAACAACCCATGCTTGCCGTAAAAGGCGACCATGCTTGTCGTGAGAGGCGACTAACAGAATATGCTCATTATATCAACCACTGAAATGTCTGGTCCAGACTCGATTATTTACAGACCGCCGTCATATAGCTGGAATATTGCTGCGTGCGCCGTTAAACAAACCAACCCTATAAGAGACGGGAGTCTTGTACTGTCCACATATCTAGACTTGCCCATAGGAGATATTACAACACATCCATGGACGTTTCCTTCAGCAAGACTGGGGGCAACCTTTCAACTGGCCGTGCACTTGGGCAGCATGCGACAGTTTCTATATATAGAACATACTGAGCGCGGATTACACAACCGCCTGAGCAATTGCTCGGGCCCGCCACGCTAGGTACATTCACATACAATCTCACGCTGTGGGAGCGTGCTCAGCTTTATTCATAGAATGAAACGCCCACTCAATGGTGACGTCACAGAATGGCTGTAAACACGCCCCACACAAATGTCGGTTAATGGGGGAAAAACTGACGATTGCAATGGTGATATGGGTCGGGGTTGAAGGCCTCGCTTGAGAAGTTCCCATAGCAGGAAAAGGTACGGGCCTATGCCGTATCTCGTTCTTGTGCACCGTCGCCTCGTTACCTTGGGTAAACGAGTACATCTGCGACTCGCACAATACCAGAGATGTCGGCTTTCTCGAGCCGGCGGAGGCTTACAATTGTATACACAGCATTCCTCCATGAACGGCCATCGCAAAACTCCAGTGACGACTGAGGATGCAGTAATTAGCACTATAATATTGAACCTATCTCCTTGCGTAAACCAAGGTCCAAGTTGCGCTTGCAACAGACGGCCGACTAATGTAATTACACGTGATAAGTGAGTCATACTCCGTCCCACGGTGTAGATAAAAGTGTTAATACTACCAGACATCGCGGTTGTCCATTACTGAATATAAACATAATTGTTGCAACACCTGTTGGAAAGCTCTTGCCAGCATAACCGCATATTGACTAAAAAAGTGAAAACTTGTCATAAGATTTTAATAAATAGTTTATTTTGACATGTGTACAAAACAGATCAGTGTAAATAAATTAGATGAGGCATGTACAATGGGGGAGGTGAAATACCATGGAGGACTTGTTGCTACAACAACTGCATCCAGAACAGATACCTGTGCCTACTCAGAACCACACACTGTGACAGAGCAAGTATGGAGATGTGTACAGAATTTCTCAATCATCAGTGGTGATGGCTGACAAACTGGATGACCATTATTGTTAGCTTAATACTTATCAGTAGGGAGTTTCTGTACTGGACTTTAGCCCTTGCAGTGGAGTAACCTGACATGGATCTGATTGGTGACCTGAATGTCACAGCCAGAACACACTGAACTCTATCTGACCTGACCTCTCTCTCTCTCCTCTCTCTCTCTTCCTCTCTCTCTCTCTCTCTGAACTGGTAAATGATGTGGTTGAAATAGCAAAACACGGAAAACTTGAAGCCTGCTGCCATTACATATGTTCGCTTGACATTGGACACATATGCAACATCCTTATGAAAGTACCAAGAACTATGTCCAATATTGCACCCAGTGTGGCTGACTGCCCGACTGCGTTGTGTGTGGTTTTGTGTCTTAACCAACAAACAGCTGATCACTTGCAACATTGCCACCAAAAAGACAACAACCATTACATTGAACAAACAAAATGCAAGTTAACAAAGTTTCAGAAAAGACATTAACAGTTTATAAGAGTAGGTATCATAACGTAATAAACTGTTCCCTTCTAGTTGTTGAGCTAAGACTATATCTCCAACATTCAGATGGGTAGAGGCAAACAGACTTGTATCAGGCTAGGTGTCAAACCCACTTGAGTCTGACTTCATTGATAGGCATTTAGAAGTTGGAGTACTAAGTAAGGATAAGAATTTATGGATGAACAACTTCTTTATTACAATTAAGAGACATTTTGGTGTAGGTTCAAACGGTTGATAACGGTGTTAGAACCTACACCGAAACCTTGCTCTTAATTGTAATAAAGAAGTTGTTCTTCCATAAATTCTTATCCTCACTTGAGTCGGGATTCACATATTTGGAATAAACTGAATTGTTGAAGAACTCCTTTTTTGAAAGTTTTAAAAAGTAAAAATACTTAACATCCCCAGCAGATTTTATTAAATTTCAAATCTTACTTGAACATGTAAGGGGAGTTATTTGCAATTATATTTCAAAATACAGCCATGACAATCTTAGAATTGAATTTTCTTTTGAAAGTTAAGTGCAAGCCTCTGCCCTTTATGATGAGAACTACAGCCATTTTTTCTACAAAGCCTGCGACTTTAATTAACATTCATATATGATGTATATGCAGTGCACAGGGCTGGGGAAACAACAGCAGAAGTATATTCATGTACCCTGTGATTAACCCATGTCATGCTGACTAACCCATGTCGTCCTGGAAAATGTCAGGGTTAAGAATAAGAACATTTAATAATAAATCGACCTGTGTTCCAGCCTCACACGCTTGCAGTGCTTGTATGTCACAGAGACAGGCAAGACAAGCACAAGGACATTGAAAGACTTGAGGGTTGAAGGAGCACAAACTTTGTTCATAGTTCACGGCCTGTGTGTAGCCCTCACACACCATCAGTGTCCGAGGGGCTGGACAAAGCCGGGCTGCTTGGGATACAGTCTGATGACTTAGACGACTCTGTCTGCCAGCTGGGAACTTTCTTGTTGGCGGCATGGCGCCGTAGGTGTTTGGCAAGGTGGTCACTTCTCATGAACTTCCTGTCACATTGTCCACAGCTGAAGCGTTTCTCTCCGGTGTGAGTGCGTTTGTGTCGAGACAACTCGTCTGATCTTGCAAATTTCCGACCACAGTTCTCCCAGTCACAACTGTACGGCTTCTCACCTGAAAGTACAGAGGGACATGTCAGCAGGGGAAATAAAACACCTGCAAGAACAGAAAGACATGTCAGCAGGGGAAATAAAACACATGCAAGGTCAGACATGTAAGCAGGGGAAATAAAACATATGCAAGGTCAGAGGACATGTCAGGAGGGGAAATAAAACACCCGCAGGGTCAGACAGGACATGTCAGGAGGGGAAATAAAACACCTGCAGGGTCACAGGACATGCCAGGAGGGGAAATAAAACACCTGCAGGGTCAGAGGACATGTCAGGAGGGGAAATAAAACACCTGCAGGGTCAGAGCACATGTCAGGAGGGGAAATAAAACACCTGCGAGGTCAGAGGACATGTCAGGAGGGGAAATAAAACACCTGCAAGGTCAGAGGACATGTCAGGAGGGGAAATAAAACACATGCAAGGTCAGAGGACATGTCAGGAGGGGAAATAAAACACCTGCAGGGTCAGAGGACATGTCAGCAGGGGAAATAAAAAACCTGCAGGGTCAGCAGGGGAAATAAAACACCTGCAGGGTCAGACAGGACATGCCAGGAGGGGAAATAAAACACCTGCAGGGTCAGAGGACATGTCAGCAGGGGAAATAAAACACCTGCAGGGTCAGAGGACATGTCAGCAGGGGAAATAAAACACATGCAGGGTCAGACAGGACATGTCATGTCACCAGTTACCATGAGCAACAACTCACTTAGCAGACATTTTTCACTAGGGTTGTACACTATCAACTTTTTATCAACAGTTAATTCCAAGTTATCCTTTTCCCACTGAGAAGATTCCCTAAGCTTGTACCACACAACTCGTCCAGAACTGAGAGAATACCTTAACAGCTGCCCTTCATTCAGCTGATGGCTGTACAACTCGGGCACATACCTGTGTGTGTTCTGATGTGTGCCTTGAGATGAGAGCTCTTGAAATAGGTCTTAGCACAGCTACGGAAGGTACATTCGTGAGTTCGCCGTCTCTTGCCATCACCAAGACCTGCTTCCTCAAACCGGCTTCCAGACTGCATCACCACAGGATGAGGCGCAATTGGACAAAAACTGTCCACTTTAGTCGTCTGTTCCTTTCTGGGCCCTGCACTTTGCTGGTTCAACACAAACACCTGTACAATGGAAGGCATGGTAGGCACAAGCTTGCCGTCAACACTCGTCAGAACAATCGGCACCCTCGCCCCTCCCGACGGGGGGGACGAACAGACAGCAGGGGTACAAGCTGTGCAGATTGCAGGGGGACAAGTTGAGCAGATTGCAGGGGGACAGTTCGGCTTGCAGCTTTGGGATATCAAGGGAATCCTGTCACACAGCACGGGACTTGTTTCGGCCATCGCTGGGAGGACACATGGCAAACAATGAGGACTTGCAGCAACTGTGGTCATTGGTCTATGACTAGCTTCTGGAGGGGAGGAGGTCGATGGTGTCACATGGGTTGGCTTTCTTGGTGGGTAAGCACATGTAGTAGAGTCACTAGGTGGGTTTGTTCTTTTCTGAGACAGGTTCATGGGCTGATCTGTGCAATGCACAGCAGATGGGTTGCTGTGGAGAGATCTTGGTGGAACGATGACCGACACATGTCGGCTTAGGGAGGCAGCAGCTGGTTGCACTTCCTGTGATGATACAGATTCCAGCCTCATCGAACTGTCACCAAGCAATAACTGAAATAACAACATGAAAACATATAATAATGGTTCAGTGATCAGTATACATTTAAGGTTGGAACAGTTAGCAGTTTCATTTGAAAAATTGTCATGAAAAGAAAATCTGCATCTCCCCTCTAGAACTTAAAATAGCAATTTTTCTGTTACATTGTGGGTATCAAAAGTTCATAGCCCATGCATTATACCATTCTGCTTCCTTTATAACCACCAATGTTCATGTACCCCCCCCCCCCCCCCCTTGTGTTTATGTTAAAAAAAAATCTGCTAAAAAAAGTCCTCTAGTATCTCAAAAGTAAGTGACTATCTAAATAACACATGTCCAACATGTTCAGTTCTCAATAATTCAATTGTTCATATACACACAGAAGTAAATTTACCCTGGCTAATTTTGATTCCTTCCTGTAGCTGAGAATCTTAATTTCCTGGTCATCGTGACATGGCGACCTTGACCCTTCTGAATGTGGGTGGGGTCATGACCCCAAGATAAGGGTCATCATCAGACTCCCTCTTCCTCTTGCCTCCCATTGCAAGGAGTGTTTCCACAGCATCTCTCTCCAGGGGGTCCTGGCATGATGTCTGACTAGGGCTTCGCAGTACCATGTCTTTATCCTGAAAAATAACACATTCAATATATTCAGGAAACGAATATGAATCTTTATGAAATTCATAATTAACATTCACTTTCATTGATGGTTCTCATGATTAAGGTGAATGGGATAGCACGAAGACGGTCGCACAGCTTCGTCTGAGTAATTTCGTAACATACTGGACTATAATTGTGAAAAGTCAAGGGCTTTTTCTTAAATATTCATTATTACACAACAATTTATTAACATTATCGTATGTGTGACACATTCCCACATCTTTACCTTCATTGGTGAAACGAGTGCCAGACACATCTCAACGCGAAAATGAACATGCACCTGTTTATGCCTTCCCGATCTACCATATCGTCAAAGTGAGATGCGCTCGTTAAGCTTTTATAGCCCAAATGTCATATTACTGACGCAAGTCCCGTTCAAAGTTCGACAACTGGGGATACTACTTGAGCGAGCACGTGTTCAGTGTGTGTAAAACCTTCCAAATATGGTGCGCAAGGTCACGCTCATAACAAAGAGGCGTTTACTTCCGGTTTCCGTGTGCTTTCAAAATAATCAACATAAACATATGGAAATTTGTGATAAAGAATTCTAAATAACACGGATAAGGGTAACAGTCTATTATGTTACAGTATGGGCCAGAATGTTAAGAGATAGTATGAAAAAAAGTATCCTAGACAGCCAAGTCGCGTCGAGTCGATGCTACGGCTGAGTGGCCACACCTATCAACAAGTCACGACCATCTCACGCGCTGAGTGCATGCACATGTACGCTCGGTGCAGAGACGCTGACATCAGGAGAGATGGTAATTGTAGCCACGCCGACACAGAACCTTACATACAACCAATACAAACCAAAAATGCTGTCTCAGAACTCAAACTGAATGTGTTTCGGATCCAAACAGTATAAAGCTGTCTTTGTTTACAAACAAAGCTTATAGGGCCTACAGTTTTGACTCAGCAACAGCCGACAACTGATTTGTAACTCACAAGTGGATCATATTAAAAATTGTTCCTTCGATTAGGTTTACTACCAAATGTGTTTTCTTTCAATACATTTTAATAGAACAAATGATCAAGCCAGCTCCCAAGATTTCGGACAGCTCACTGCCGAAGTCGCTTATCGATGTCGTCAGGAAATAAGGGCAACACTGGAGTTTTTTATGAAGAAATACACTGACTAATATAATACTTACTGTGACATACGCCGGTGGGGTGACTGGTGGTGATGGTGGGTATGAACATATATCCTCTCGCATTTTCGTTTATTTCTATCTGGCTCCGATCAAAGGCCAATTTGCATCTTCTATGACTGTACGAACTACGCTCACATTCAAGGCGAGGGCGGGGAACAATAAACCAATCAAAAATGGGGGCACGGTTCGGCCAGCCAATCAGCATTCATCTATCATGTGATCAGCTAGTGACTTTGCTGTCCATGTGCACGTGGCCTTGTGATGGCAATGGCATGTCACACAGTTCTCGTCGCCAATGTTTACATCAGAACTCGCACGCAGCTGGTCAACAAGACTGGTACCACGCGTGTTAATGTGCTTCTAAACTATGTATAGACGTGTCTGAGAAAGAAATTAACTGAATGTGTCAACCCTTATGCTCATAATATTTATGAATTTAATTTTTTTTTTAAACATTCGACAAGTCAGATAAACTTCCATTAATAGTCGTGCTTTTATGAAAATCGGATGTCAAGGTAATTCTGTTATCATTCGGTGGTAAACAGAAAGTGAAATTGACATGACAGTATTGGGTAACTGACATTGACGTGAATTACAGATCTCCTCGCGATGCCCGGCTGTTCACAGCACGCGGAGCACGTGATTTCAGGGCGCCGTGATACTCGATCGCGGCTTGAATAAATTAACTGACATAATCTGTCTGGACTGTGTAATTGCTTCAAAGGTCACATCAAACACGTTACGACGTCAGCGCTATTTAATTTGTTCAATGTACTGTCTATATTTGACACTATACATAATCAATGGGCGTGGACTGCACATGTGACAAACAAAGTCATGTCAATTTCAATTTACCTTTTTATATAGATCAACTGAATGTAAGAATGCCTCTGTCACATAGCTGTTAGTGGAGGCGCTCTACATTTGAACTGGAATTATATAAAATCGGTAAATGAGAATTACAGACCAATGTATTCGCGCACTAAAAAAAATGCTGTGTGATAGTCTCTGTGGGGTGTCGCCATGTGTGGAGGGGGTGCGGGACAAAAACAAAACTGTCAAATGGATATTTTGGTATCTTTGACCAAGTGCTATAGTGTAAGTACGAACCAATTGGCAAGGTAGCTTCTGCTAAACAATACCCCTCCTCTCCCCCCTACCTACACACACACACACACACACATACATACCATACACTAGACAATTAACAATCAGACAGCGACATTCATTCACTAACTATCGCTCATTTTGAGGAGCTAAATCGTGTCGGATTGTTATAGTTTGTGATAAGACCTTTACGTAAGTTTTCAGCAAGGAAGTGTGCACCCCTTCGCGATTAACTGCACGTACGTCCGCCGCGCACTGGGTCAGTATGCTATCAACAACACGCTCTTCGAAGGCAGGCAAGTACACCATCCCTGACACGTCAACCCATGGGCGGATACAGATTTTTTTAAAGGGGGGGGGGGGGGGGGGGGGGGGGTGCACAATTAAGATCTTTTTATTGTCTTTGGTGGTAATTTATACAGAAATAAAGGTTTTTTTCGAAATAAAAAGGGGGGGGGGGGGGGGGGGGGGGGGGTGCGCACCCCCCCTCTCCCTCTCTGTATCCGCCCATGCAACCTGTTCTCGCTAATACAAATGTGATCAATATTGGATACACTTTCACCTGCCTGCTGGAAAGTGCACAAACAACGTGATCGATCGAAACATGCAGATGCACATATATAGAAATGAAAAGTACATGACGAAATCCAGGTCTGTAGGAGCAGGTGTTCAGTATTTGATAAAAACATAACCCTGAAACACATTGGACTACGTGGGAGTCGTTGAGTTGTCTATTCACAACAAAATACACTCACACACATTATGCACGTTCCACAGAAAAATACACGACTTGTCTATATACTCACCAGGGGCGGTCGGGTAGCCTAGTGGTTTAAGCTTATCACGCCGAAGACCCGGGTTCGATTCCCGACATGGGTACATTGTGTGAAGCCCATTTCTGGTGTCCCTCGCCGTGATATTGCTGGAATATTGCTAAAAGCGGCGTAAAACCATACTCACTCACTCACTATACTCACCAAACGAGCTTGTTCATTCCCTCTGTGACATCAGCTTCTCCCCACCCCCCCCCCCACACACATCCCGACCCCCCCTCCACCCACAGTAGCATGGTCCATCTAAATGTTGGGTTTCTTAACTTTTAACCGTCAGTATATTGCAACAGGATTCAGTGTGCAATGGCGACCGACAATTTAAAAAAACCAAGAACAAACCATTAAGTGGTAGTGATATCTGCAGCTCCGTAAGACGGGTCATCTTCACACTGATTCAGGCCATAGCAACGTCCTCAACGCCCTTATCTTATCATACACAAACATCCACTGTGTCCGTTCTGTGACCATGTAGAAGTTAAGAGCCACATCATGTTGAATGACGCGACTGCGAAGGTCTCCAATATAATTTACATATCTACACAAAATAATGATTGCTTTCAAGATGTTTTTTACACGAAGAGGCCCTGGCTTTAGACATTACTATATTGTGTATTGAAGTATTGCGTATTTCAGGTAGCTCACGCTCGTGCGAAGTAGCTGAATGAAGTTTAACTCCGACCTCACAACACGTTTATATTTTCAATTAAATTAAATTCAGTTTTTTGTTTTAAAGGCCATATGACCCATATTACATACATGTATATCTTACAGTTATATTACATTGCTCATGTATCATGGTATTGGATAACATTTCATTTCCGTTCTTATTTTAAATACAATACATTTTTTTTGACAGTTGAAATATATTCTCAAGTATTTTACAATTAATTATAGACATCAAATAAGCGAGGGCTTGGTTTTTTGTTATAATTTTACAATGAGTACGTGCATCGGTATACAGAGGACAGACAAAACAAACGTGTTTTTCATCATCTAGATATTTACAGTGCGAGCAGAGAGAGTCTTCATCATCGCCATTACGTTGACCTTCACGTACGTTTTGAACACCAGTGGAACAGTATTATATATCCACTTCTATATTTTAACCAGGCCTTTCTGTAATTAAGTACATTATTATTTTGGACATGCGATTCAAACTGAAGTTCTGATTTCTAGGAGGAATAAAATGTAAGTGACCGTTTATATTTTATTCTCTCTCTCTCTCTCTCTCTCTCTCTCTCGCTCTCTCTCTCTCTCTCTCTCTCTCTCTCTCTCTCTCTCTCTCTCTCTCTCTCAATTGCCCCTATGTTGCATGGTGGCAAAAAGTAAACAGACAAAAAAAAAGGCAATTCGATGGTGATGTATTTGATACGGGTGACACGGTTGTGTTTTAGGCCGCAGTGGCGTCTTGATAATTATAGCAAATAGTGTTTCATAATCCGAACTGTGGCTGAGTGTTAATCATATTCTGCACATAGTCAACGTGTATCTGTGGATATTTAACATGCGCCACTTAATTAATGTATTTTCTGTCCGTCCATATGACCAAGGTCAGGCCCACGGCACTTTCAGATGGAAACACTAAACATATATTCCAACATTCTACCTGATCCTGTGTCAGTTTGTATAAAAACTGGAGTTTCTGTTTTCCGAATCCGACATATATACGCTGTACATGCCATGCTTGCTGTGAGAGACACCTATGCTTGTCGTCAGAGGCGACTAACAGGATCGGGTGGTCAGACTCGCTGACTTTAGTTTATGTCATCTAGTCTGTCTTACAGACCCTGATACAAATATATATCAAATACAGCCCATGCAAGTCTATAATGTTTGACAAGTCTAGAATATGAAAATGAAGAGAGTCACTGGGCTCCCTTTTATTATATTTTTATTAAGATAACTGAACAACTGTTTTTTCTGTACGATATGTTCATTTCAGAGACTAGATGTTAGTCTACATGTCATCGTATCCCATTTGCGTTGATCAATGCTCATGATGTTAAGCACTGGATTGTTTGGTCCAGATTCCAGTATTTACTGTCCGTCGTGATAGAGCTGTAACATTGCTGAGTGCAGCGATAAACAACAAAGAATATATAACGCTGGATGGTTCGTTCATCGAACCGCGAATCCTGAAATCTGTTCCTAAAATGGTTTCAAGTTGTGAAGTCAAAATGATAACTACATGTAGGCATTGCCTTCTAATGACACCTGTAACAATATAGAATTTGTACAAATAATATACCTACCGGAAAAAACCCGTCTCGAGTTGTAACTGAATTCTGTCCTGTGTTGGCGTAGCTGATGACGCTCACATCGACGCCCTGCGTCAATACAAATGGGGCACAAAGTGGACACAAATAGAAACAACAAGCGATCATGTCTTTTAACAAGGCTAATGAAATTCTTGACATTGTTTCGGTGTAATCTGAGTCAGCCATGCTCACTGTGGAGATGAGCGGTTGCGTGACGCTGAATAGAACCAGTCTGACTCGTCCTCGTCTTGCGGATAACGATGAGTGAGTGAGTGAGTATGGTTTTACGCCGCCTTTAGCAATATTACAGCTATATCATGGCTCGTGACACTAGAAATGGGCTTCACACTTGCACCCATGTGGGGAATCGAACCATGGATTTCGGCGTGACGTGCGCACGCTTTAACCATAAGGCTACCCCACCGCCCCTGTGCAACGATGAGGGTGAAATGAATCGTTTTCATTTGAACGGGTGTAGCTTGATTTGCCAGAAGCATTATATATCTGCAGTGCCAAATACAAACGTTTATAAGGGACTTTTAGTCCTGCACCATGACCGTGGAATATATAATCTAGAAATGCATACAAAAGCAAGTCTAGCCAGCTCAAGCTAGCTCTATTCCACATAGGGAATTGTTTTTATTTTTAGAGTCAAGAAGGATATTGTGTAATATTAGATTTCAGAGACTAAATGTTAGTCTAAAGGGACTATTAGCGTGCCACAATCTGATTGTTTGCTTGATAACTTAGAACGGTTTCAAATATTCTTATTTTGTTTCACTTGCAAAATGTGTTGAATATTTGTCTCCAATTACCATTTTACCAAAAATGTTGTTCATTCTACTAACAAGGTGGGTCGGTTGCCATGGCAGCGTGAAGCGCCATCCATCGTTTAATTGTTTTCGAAGTGTCTGACACGTGGGAGGGTGTTGTAGAAACTTACCGATAATATTTGTATTACGATATAAATTGAAACCTTCGTCATAAACCGCCAGTTCCACACAAAAGTCTCAGCCAAGAAATACTCAATAACTATGGTGGCTGATTTGGGCCATTCCCATATCACCCTGAGATATCCACGCGATTCGTCGTTACGTCTTGCAATGAGTGGCATGG